CCCCAGGGTAGAGTCACTATGGGCATTTAAATTGTGAAAACCAAATGTGTAATTTATGCAAAAGTAATCACAATCGTTCCTTGAAAGGTGAGGTTTTCTGTGTTTTACTGACTTTATTTCTTAAAGTTTATTTTTAAATTTATATGCAGTAAAATTCACTCTTTTTTGGTGTATAGTTCCATGAGTTTAAACACATTGTCAACCTTAAAAATTCAACAGCCAGTTATTTTGCCAGCAGAATGGGTTTATTAGGGAATAGTGGAGAATTGCGATTGGTACAAGCAAATTATAGCAAAATTCACAAACAAATCCAGTGAGCTAGGGAGCGGAGCATTATTTTATAGAGAGAAAGGAGGACGTGGGCAGGGTTGTTTGAAGGAAAGTCTATTGGAGGAAAGTGAGTGTTCAGGGTGGTGGCAGTTTCTCATTGGCTGAGTTGCTGGACAAGTGAAGTAGTGTTGGCATGTAAGGTCTCCTCCTGTCCAGGTCTGTACTTGACAATTCTTCCTGTTGGCGTCTGTAATTGATGTCCAGTGGTAGTGCATGAGGGTCCCCCGTTAACCCCCAACTCCGTTTTAAATGAAGTTTCCCTTTATTGATTCTCACATGTATAGATTCCTGTGACCCCACAGCGAACAGGACACGGAATGGTCCCATCATTCGGAGTCCCTTGTGCTGCCTCACATGTAATGCCGGGAAACCATGAACTTGCCCTACACCCCTGAAGTCTTGCCTTTCCCAGAATGTCATATAAATGAACTCATTCAGAATGTAGCCTTTTGTGCCTAGCTTCTTTCACTTGACATAATGTGTTTGAGAGTCATCCATGTTGTTGTCTGCATCACACATGTGTGTGCACTCATGCACATGTGTATTCACATTTCATTTTAAAATAACTATAGCATCAGAAGAAGTTGCCAAGGTAGTACCGAGTGGTTTCCTGGACCCTCTGCCAGTTTCCTCCAATGATTGCATCTGACACAACCATAGTGCAGGATGGGTTCCAGGAAACTGACACCACCGCCAGGTGCGCCATTCATTCCGCCACATGCACAGGCGCGTGCGGCCACCACGTCAGCCAGCACACAGAGCTCTCCCCTCACCAGCAGGTCTCCCCAGCACAACTGCTCTGTGGTCACCTACTGCTGCCCCCACCCCCATTCCTCACCCATGGCAGCCACTGGGCAACTCTTCTCCATCTCTATAATAGTGTCATTTCAAGAATGTTACATAAATCAAGTCATACAGCACGTGACCTCTTGCCATTGGTTTCTTCCTCAGTACAACGCCCTGGAGAGGCCGTTCATTCCTTCTTATTGCTAAGGTGTATTCCATTGTAGACGTGTGGCCGTTTGTTTACGTATTCACCTGTTGATGGACATTTGGATTATTTCCAATGTTTGGCAAGTGTGAATAAAGCTTCTATAAATATTTGCATATAGATGTTCTGTTTCTCTTGAATAACACCTACGAGAGGAATGGCTGAGTCATATGGTGAGTGAATGTTTATGAGGAACTGCCACCCTGTTTTCCAAAGTGGTTGTATCATTTGCATTCCCATCAGCGATGCACGAGGATTCTAATTAGCTGTTCTTCATCCTTGCCAGCACTTGGTGGGTTGTTTTTTGGTTTTTTGGTTTTTTTTGGGGGGGGGAGAGAATTGTTAGCCATTCTAATAGATGTGAAGTGGTATCTCATTGTTTTAATTTGCATCTATCAGGATAGATTTGGAGTAAGAAAAAGGAAAACTCTGTTTGAAGAAACATTACTTTGATTTTCTGCTTCATAGATTTATATTTTCATTTATCAGTGAATCTAAAAAAGGTCACAAAGAGTCGCTGGGTCTAACCCAGGCCTCAGGAACATGAAAATGGAAATTTTATGGAGACAGTTACCTTCTGTTTTAAATGATTGACAACTCTGGTTGTCAACTAGTCCCTGTGCTGAGTGAAAAAAGTTAATCTAGTCCCAATTAATTACCTCAAATAATTATGCAAAATGTATATTACAGAGGCACTGTGTGGATACAAACTGTGTTTCTTGAATTATTTTTGAGGGCATTGAGAATGTGTGGTGTTCTAAGGAATCCCAGTGGCATGCATTTGTTGAAAAGGCATCAGCAGGGCTTTAGTGGGAAGCTCACTGGGTGGAAGTTTGAAAGTCTCATCTCCTCGGCAAAAGGAAGGTTTGGGTTCCCTTCAGCCACATTCCCTGGTCCTGGGCGGGAAGGGACCCCTTCCCAGTGCCAACTGGACAGGTCTGGTCCCTCCTGTAGGTTTGGGGTATTCTGTGACCTCAGGAGTTTAGACTGGGGCGGCTTAATGTCATGAGGAGAGTGTCGATCAGGAGTCAAGAGGCCAAGCTGAGCTGAGGGCTTTGATTTCCTCATTCATTAGACAAAGTTTTCTTCTGCTCACAGGTACCAAGATTCTAGGAACTGCTTCTGAGTCTGGGGAGGAACAGCCACATCCCATCCTGGTTCCACGTCGCTGGCCTTTCCTGCCCTCCCCCTGCACCGGGCCTTGTTTGCAGGCTTGTGGGTGAGGAGACAGGCAGTGCTGGCAGCATTACAGGGAAGACACCTTGGGATGGAGCTGGGGGAGTGGGGCAGAGCCAGGGAGAGGCTGGAGAGGGCAGGTCAGTGCAGGAGGCAGGGCCCACCGGGCCGCCAAGGAAGTATCAGACACAGACAGACAGTTCTGGGCAATGGGATAAGCAGACAGCATGCCCTCACCCTCACCTCGTTATCAGGGGACGTCCCTCCAGATGGCTCGGCCCAGGAACTGGAAGGAGAGGAGTGTCTTGAAATTAAAATGGCACAGGAGGTACCAGTGACACTCATTAGAGGAAGGCACATTCCTGTGTGACACTCAAGGCCGTGTCTTTCTGAAGCAGGTGGCACTAGGATGCTGAGGCACAGCCCGTTGTTGGGGGGGAGGCTGGAGACAGCCCAGGCACCTGTCTTGCCTCCTCTCACAGACCCTACCTTTACTCCCAGCCCAGCAGAAGCAGCAGAGGCAGAGGCAAGCACGCAGCAGCTGGCCACAGCCCAGGCTGCAGTGTGCCAGGCTCAAAGGGACAGGGCCCAGGCTCCTGGGACATCGTGGGAGGGGCTGGGTTTCCCCAGAGAAGGCTCTGGCCCTGGGTAGGATGGGATGTCCCTGTGGGGAGGACAGGAGGGGTGTCACTCCAGGTGGAGTTGTGGAGGAGAGGCCAGCGTTCCTGAAAACACACTCAGGTTGAACTCTGGGGGTCTCCTCTGGGGACAGTGACCTTCCCAGAGGGAGGGAGGCACCCCCACACAGAGGCTTTGGCAGCCCTGCCCTCGTGGCACCAAAGGCGATGGGGTGCGTCAGGCAAGGATGCAGAGAGAGAGCCTCCTTCTCCTGCCCTAATTCCACGTGACTTCATGCGTGGGCATTTTCCTTAGGTCAGAGGCAACCGGCCCTTTAACACCTTATTGGAACAGAATTACCTGTGTATGCCTGTGTTCTCCGTGCATCTCCTCCGTTTCCTCCCTCACAGTGCCTGGGGACTGATCATGTAAAGTTGTTAACTCTGTTGCTTAACACCTGTGAAGTCCAAGCTTGCCACAGAGCAGCTTTCCTGTGTACCAGTGAGCAGATGGCTGTGAGTTCTTATTTCGTGGGTAGGTCAGTTCATGGCCTCCAGCATGATTGGCTCCTGACTTTCAGGTAACAGATCTGTCCTCTGAGTTGTCACCACACCCACCTCCTTTCATCCACGCTGAGGAAAAGAGCCCTCCACTTAGCAAAGGCCTAGCCCAGTGTCCTGCAGGAGCGTTCCGTGTCCCCAGCATCCCTGGAGAAGAGAAGCAGCCCCTGTAAGTGCTGTTACTAATAACGCTGGCAACATCCACCTCCAGGAGCCCGTCTTGATCTGTACCCTGGGGACCCGTAAGCCCAGGGCAGTGCTCTGAGGGCCAAGACTAGAGACCCGCCACAACCCTCTGCCTCTTCTTTCTCCTTGAATTTCCTTTTACTTTAATTATTTGTGGGATCACAGGGTAGTTGAGAGGTTTCTCCAACCCAGTTCTCTAGATGTGGGTAAGGTTACACCGTCCTAGCAGGACCACCCTGGTCTTAACCTTCTCCAGAGAAAAAGGCCTCCATGTACCCCTCTCCCGCCCCCGCCCCCACCCCTGGGCCCTGGGTGCAGACACCATTGCTATGGCTGACCATCATTCAAGGTTTGTTTTCTTCTCGGGTATGTAGATCATTTAGAATGTTTCTCAAATCAGTTTTCCACCTGGCATTTTCGGTGGCGAACTGCTTTTACAATCGGGTGGAATTACCTCTCCATTAAGGTCCTTGTCTTCCATCGAAGTCTAGTGGGTTTTGTTTACGTTTTACAAAGTCATGGTTAGGCATCATCTTTTGTGGGCCATTTAATTGATCAGCCCTCCGCAGCCTTCTCTTCTTCACATTACAGAATTTTATTTCTTTCTCCTTACAGAGGGGCCCCATGCCCGTGGGAGATGTGACCAGAGTGGAGAAGTAGGGATATTTCCCCTCAGTGACTAAAGCAAAGACAGCCAAGTTCCATATCTCATGGTCCAGGGTCAGCAGGCGCCCGGTGGTTGGTCTGGTTCTGGCCATTACCAGGGAGTAAATCTAGATCTCAGTGGGCTCCTTTACATAGAGTCCTTCCAAGTCCAAGACAACCCCAGGGAGGCTGGGACAGGCCCAGGGCAGACCCAACCCTGAGCCCTGCTGAGAGCCATGGCGGCTTCCTGGGAAGCCTTCCGCGGGCACCTGCTTGCCCACAGCGGGCTCGTTTTGGAAGGATCCACAGCTCACCCCTCGCTTTTCTCAAGCGCAGGTCACCTGCCTGGGAAACCCCTGCTGACCCCCAGGGCACCCACTGGTGGGTGTGCTGAGAGGCTCTGTCTACAAGATGGATGAGATCTGGCTCTATTCTAAGGAACTGAAATGCATCATTTAGTCAAAGTCTATGATACAAATAGCCCTTCTGTGGGAGCACGATTAAGAATAGGCAGTTAGGAGAAATTTTTCAGCTCTTGAGAGATTAATTGAAGTAGAGTTAAAAAAAAAATAGACCTATTTCCCTCGTCTTCCCATTGGTGACATGTGCAGGCAGACATGGCTACTTTTTGCTGCCTCCACAGACAGAATAGCACCTGCACATGGGGTGGGAGCATTTCTGAGCTAACTGACCCCACAGCGGGGTTGTTGCATCTTTGTATGGTACTGAGTGACTGGATGCCTGCCCAAGCCTGAGTGCATTTCATTCTTTGAGTTTGGTGCCTGAATGTTTGTGTGAGCAACAAAGAATAGCCGAGTTCCCCCTTGCACCCTCTAGGTCAGGGGACAGAAATCTTTTTCCGTAAAGAACAGACAGCAAATGTTTTAGGCTTCGTGGACCTCATATCCTCTGTGGCAGCTGCTCAACTCTGTTGGGATGGTGGTGGGCAGGCAGCCACAGAGAGTATGCAAATAAAGGGCTTGGCTGTGGTTCCAATAAACCTTTATTTATAAAAGCAGGTGGCAGGCTCACTTTGCAGGCTGTAGTTTGCACACTCCTGCTCAGGAGTCAGAGAGATGAGGAAGTTCCTTCCCTCTCCTTCACTGTTTTCAGGTGATGCCTGGGAATAGTTTGTTCATTCAACACATACTTACTGCGCAGTCTGCTACCAGGCCAGGCTCTGTGATGTGAGTTTAGGAGAAAACAGAATATACAAAGGTTCCTGATTCATGGGACTTACATTGTAGCAAGGAGACCGGTGTGACTGGAGAGGAGTGTGAAGAAGGAGCCACTGGAGAACTTTGAACTGAGAACTACATGACCTCTTAGGGGAGAGCAGTAATCCAGGAGGGAGACGGTGGTAGCATGAACTGGAATGGTATCAGGGAAGATAGTGAGGAGTACTTGGATTCGGGTATATTTTGAAGGTAGAGCCAGCTTGATTTCCTAATGGACATGATATGTCTGAGATAAAGGATGTTTTGGGCCCAGCAATTGGACTATGGAATTGCCACTAACTGAGACGGGGATACTAAGGGTGGAAGCAGTATCACACATGCTAACTTGGAAATTTCTCTCAGTCATCCAAGTGGATATAGTCAAGCCTGGCATTTGGGAGAGAGGTCTGAGCTGCAGAGGATACATTTATATGTTGTCATCATGGGATAATAATGGTATTTGAAGTGATGGGCTCAGGTGTGATCGCCATGGAAACGGAAGTGGCTAGAGAAAAGAGGAGAGCCAAGACCCTGGGGCACTCCAGTATTAGGACGTTGGGGAGAGGAAGAGGGACCTGCAAAGGAGAGAGAAAGGGGTGATGAGTGAGCCGGGAAGAGGAAACCAAGAGAGGGCAGTGTCCTGGAGCCAAGCGAAGAAAATATATCCAGGAGGAGGGAGTGGTCTCCTGGGACAAGTCCTGCTTGTAGGTCTGGATCTGTTGTAAGATGAAGACTGAGTGTTGACCGTTGGATTTGGCAGTTTGGTGGTTCTTACTGACTGTGATGAGAGCAGTTTATGTGGAGGGGAAGATGGCCTGCTTGGAGGGGTTTGGCTACCCAGAGGAGCAATTTAATGGCGGGGGGAGGAGGGAAGTAGGATTAAAAGAAGATTTTTTTTGTTGTCTTTTAAAAAAATGTTTTTATTGATTTTTAGAGAGAGAGGAAGGGGAAGAGAGATAGAGATAGAAACATCAATGAGAGAGAAACACTGATTGGCTGCCTCCTGCATGGCCCCCACTGGGGATGGAGCCTGCAGCCGGGGTATGTGCCCTGACCAGGAATAGAACCGGTGACCTCTGGGTGCATGGGTCGACACAGCCACTGAGCCACGCTGGCCAGGCTTTGTTGTCTTTGATATGGGAGAAGCAGTGCATGTTTGTACGGTGGAAATCATCCAGTAGAGAACAAAAATTTGATAATGAGGGAGAGACAGGGAAGAACTGCAAGAAAGGTGTCCTTTAGTAGTTGAGAAAGATGGGGTCTGTACCAAAAGGAGGTTTCAGCTTTAGACAGCTGCTTCGAGGACTTCAGCTTCTGGCCAAGAGGGAGTACTTGGTACTGGACTCTCCATATACAACCAGAAAACCAGGAAGATTGTTACGGCTTCCTGTTTCACTGAGGACGCTGAGGCCGCCGGCAAAGAGCTTCCAGAGATCCCCACCATCACCCCCTCCAGCACCCACCTCCGCACGCTCTGCTGCCCTCTGTGCCCTTATCTAGACCAGCTTCAGGCTTCACGGATTGTCTGCCTATTATTTGTCCCTTTTCTATGTTGACTTCGGCTCTGATCTGTAATATTTCTTCTTTCTGGTCATTTGGTTATTTTTTCCCTTATTTTTAGCTTCATAAGGTAGATGTTTAAATCATTTTTAGACTTTCTTCTTTTTAGTCTCGGCTGTGTGCTAGCCTGGCCACATTAAGGCTCCCTTAGCTTCAGAGCACCTTCGCATCTGCTGCTTCATGATATTTAATAACATCCTTGAACAGTCTACAGGGTGGGCATCATTGTCCCATTTTATAGATTAATATAAAATATTAGTCTATGATACCAAAAGACTAAATGGCTAGCCTGCAGTCATGACAGTTATTATTGGTAAACTGAGGTCTAGAATCCTTACAAATACTGCCGCATGTAACCACAACTGAAGCTATTTTATAGGTGTGAGAGGATCTAAGGTGAAGCTCTAAGAAGTTAAGTAATGTGCCAGCGTACACACAGCTGATCTCCGCTGGAGCCCAAACTTGAACTCGGGTCTGCTAAGGTCAGATGATCTTTTCACCTCACCCACCTCAACTGCCAGGAAAAGTATACATGGAAACATTGCATAGTAAGTGGATTCAATTAAAACTACTTTAAGTTAGTTTTCATTCTGTATTCATGGGGCAGCTATGATTCTTTCGACTGAAGGAGGCATTTGTATTTCTCCAGTGGGTTCAAGCAGGCTAGTTTGATTACACAGGGTATTTTTCTAAATAAAGACAGTAGTTTGCTTTTAGATCCTCCAGACTATTTTATAGATACACTGACTTGAAATTAACCAGTTTATTAGATTATTTGCCCAGTGTGCTTTGCGCATATGCCTGGCCTCTGTTTGTATTGTGTGCAGTGTCTAAAGGTGTACATATGCAGTTTGGTTTACCTGCTGCAGGACGAAGTCTGAGCCAGCTCCTGGGCACCCCATGTAATAAGTAACCCTCAGATACTGTTCATTCCTATGAATTAATCTCCATATTGAAGTTTCTGATTCTAAAATTCAGAGGATGGTAGGTCCTGTAAGATCCATGAAAATCACAATCATCTAGTTCTTTTAAAGGTTTAAGTTGTAAAAATAACTTTTGAGGTTTTATGTGTTGTTTTTTGATTTGGAAAATTTGATTAATATTGTCCCTAAAATAAGCAATCTCACAAAGGCTATAAAAAATACCCATAGAACGCATCAAATGTTACAAAGGACTTTTAAAGCAAGCTTGTGAGGTCCGTGTTGCGATTCCCATCTTACTGATGTGTCTGAGGTTCGGATGAGAATGCTGTGCCGCGAGGGAAGGCTGGGACCCTACCGCTTAGCCCAGTGCTCTCATCACAATCACACACCTTTTCTAGAAGCACCAGGATAGGTCAGAGCTCAGGCTGACCTGCTGGCCACAGCCCCATCCGAGGAGCACACGCCCTGCTCTTCCAGTTGTTTGCTTTCTGTGCCCCCTGCTTTGTTTAGCACGGCCACCCAGAGCATTCGTTGGCACACACTTGGCCTTTAAGAGAGGAAAAGAGCTGGGATCCCAGCCCGTGTGGTTGAAGACATGCCTCAGTGAAATCCGTCTCCTAGAGGCAGTCTGTGGGCAAGTCAGACACAAACTGTGAGAGATTGGCTCCCAGGAAGCGCACCGAGATGGCAGTCACTTTTAGGGTGGGATCGTGGGGTTCATCATCCCCACGTGTTCTGCTCTGGTCTGGCCTCTGGGCTGTTCGTTGGTTTGTGAGGTGCAAACGACCCTCTTCCACTGAGCACCTGAAAATTTTGCTGGGGCTTGTGTGAAAGGTCAGGTCATGAGCTGTGGATGCAAGTCGTCTGTGTATTCATCAAAAGGCCGAGCAGTTCACAGAGGACTGCTGGTTGCCCTGGCAACCTCACAGCCCTCCAGACAGGGCTCCAAATAGACAAGAGGTGAGGACAGCAGGCAGCGTCTGTAGGATGGTTTTCTGTGCCTGAGCCGCCCCTGACAGCAGTCACAGCTACAGCCTGGACGCGAGAGGCCACGCTGGAAGCCTGTGTAACACAGACCAGTCCAGAGCCAGTGTGGTGTGACTAGCTGAGCAGCGGGTCACTGTTGCTTTTCCCTGACACAGTCCAACGCTCCTGGCTCCCAGGTTTGTCCCTGGAAACCAGGGGAGTACAGCTGAGCTGGCCCAGCAGACGGATGCTTGGTGCCGTGGAGGGGAGGGGCTCTCAACTCCCTCTGCAGGCACCATATTCAGGGATTTTAGGGAAACGACCTCATCCTGCCTCAGTTTCCACATCAGTCATGTGAGGCTGAGAACACATGCTCTTCCTTTATAAAGGCAGCTGTGAAAAGCAGATGTGACAAGAGCAGAGTGTTGCTTGGAGGTCACAAGTACAGTTCCCCAAACATGGCATGCCATTCTCTGGGAACAGAAGCGGAGACTCGGGATTGCTGCGTTTGCTAATTGTGAATTAAAAATATTTCATAGTCTCCCCCCCCCCCCCCCCCCCCCCCCCCCCCCCCCACCCCCC